TTAAACTATTGCTTCGGTATAAATGCGAGTGCGAATCAGGAAGTCAATATCGGGTGGATTCGAAATTAAATAAATTTTTTTTTCGAGACTTAAAGCAGTAAATCTTTATTTAAAATTTGCAGATCTTTATTTTTATACGGAGAATAAAATTATATGTTTATATACTTAACGTTGATCAAATTTGTCAACTACGCGCGAACACGTTGACTGTTATCAGTTTGTAAAATAATGATAAATTTTTGTTAAAGAAAAAAAAAACTGTTCCACATTTTTAAGTTTCGCAGTAATAATTTTCATTGCTTTACAAGCGTAATTCCAGCCGCACGCATTCAGACATCGAAGATCGATTTGGTGGCCGTGACATAACTCACTAAACAAAACGAACGCGCAACGCGGCAAACGGTGGTTGACAAAAAACAAAAGCAAAAGCCAGAAAAAATAGAGCGAGAGGGGAAGGGAGTCGGGGGTTGCGCAAAAGAGAGAAAACTAGTGTGAAAAGAAGCGGTAAGAGGGACGAGGACATTCCGATAGACGTAGCGAGTGGCAAAGAGAGAGAAAGAGAGAAAGGGAGAGACAAAACGCGTAGCAAAGTGAGAGAGAGTAGAAGCACCGCGCGCGAGTAGCGAAAGCTGCGCAAAAAAAACCGCAACGCGAAATCCGGACGCCCCGGAAAAAAGGGGCAAAAAGCCAGAAAAAAATAGTGGAACGCTCAACCCCGCCGGCGCATCCCTCGCCACCCGACGGTCCGATGGGGGGAAATGAAATCGACAGGGCGTCCACCTATCGGTCCGATGCCACGTACACAATCCAGCGCGTGCATGTAGCATCCTCAACACATGTCGGCGGATTGCTTTGTCCACGTGCATTACGATACACGAGAGCGGACGTTCGGTGAACATACAAGCGCGCGCGCACACCTACGTACACACGTACGTGTACACACATTCGTGGAGCCGATCCGTGTGCCCGTGTGTCCGTGTGTTGACGGCGCGTGTGTACGCCGACATAACTAAACAAGCAACAAGTGACCTTAAAATCTACGAATAAAAATACCGGCCACTGATCGGATATCGTGCGCAGCTGCAACGGAGAAGAGCGCGAGGGGTGAAACTAGGTGAAGGGGTGCGTTATCGCCATCGCGCCAAGAAAGCTCGAGCAAGCCGCGCGCCGGTTCGCAAATGCAAACATCGCGATCGCGTTTGAGAAAAACAACGGAGAGAGAGAGAGAGAGAGAGAAAGAGAGAGAACATATATGCGGTAAAAGGCGGGCGCAAGAGGGAAGTTTCGTCGATTGAAAGTGCACACGGGGGATGGTTGCACCGGATTATAACCGGTTCGCGTGTTCCGTCCTTGTCTTCTCTTCTTTTGCCAAATATAGACGCGATTATTAGAGCAGGTTAACGAGCACTCGCTGCCCGGCTCGATTTCCTCGTTAATACGCGAGGAAAAGCTTTTTAATGCGCCTCGACTTTTCCTGATGAGGATTCGTTGTTGTTCTAATTGATATGCAAACTGTATTGTAATACGATGGATAATTTGCCTGTATTAGAATTGTTTGTAAAATTGTCGGAATAAAGGGATGAAAAATTATCTATTCGAAACTAATGAGAGAATCAATCAATGCAATGGTTTAAATTAACATTTTTGAAGAAATTTGCATTAAACAATAGGTCTAATTATTATTGCGATTTTTTCATTAATTTATTTACTAGACATTATTGTGTCTCTTTCCATTCGCTTTCCATAGCCGTACTTAATTATTAACGTTGCGCTACGAAAAAAAAAAAAAAAAAATGGATCTAGTCTTCGTAAAGAGAACTCTTTCGAGATTTCTTTCACGGCACTAGCGCGCATAGTAAGAAGCAACAAGTGACCTTAAAAACTGCTGGGATAAAAATACTGGCGGTTGATCGAGAGTTTTGCACGCCGCCGCTGAGCCAGCGGTAGATTGGGGTATGATTGGGTAAGTGGGCTTTTCGGGGTTGGAGTTAAACGGAGTGGGAGAGGGAGTGCAAAAAGTGGTATAACACTGAGACGCCGGTCTAAATCGAGTATACCGTTCCGTAGTTTGGCTCTTTTGTTCGCGTCACTTATCGTGATATCGTGATGTAAACTTCTCCGCGTTACTAAAAGACTATTTTATGAATATCGTAAACATGTTCGAGAAAAGTTTGCTGTTTGCAATTAATAATGTTCGAACTTAAATTACATAATTCTCTATAACATAAATAATGATAAAGTTTGATAAAATTGCAACATAATGTCATTGCATTTGTCGTACTTTTTCCACGCTATTCATTTTTAACATTAATTTTGATATTTGATATGCATCGTAATACATGCGACGAGAGATTTAAATAAACTGTACATGGATTATTTTCTATAATTCAAAGATACAAGAAAAAGCTTTCGGCTCTTAATTAGCAATATTATTCCATATTTTTCATTATTTATATAATTTTGTGTTAAAATAATTATATTTATAATAAATTATGCTTTTACGTAGATCATTGTTATATACATCTATAATATACCTATAATATCATATAATTAAATTTGTTCACTTTGTACAAGATAAGGGAGGATCAGATGATATATAAAACTCTGCGAAAAAAGTAAGAAAGGTCACACACTTTGAAACGATAGTTGATATTTAATATCGAGTCGATATATCTTAGGTGTATGAAGGAGAAGCGGAGCATGATGCATTATTAGAGAGCAAAGGTGGTAGTTTCCAACCCCTTTTCTCGTTAGTTCCACCGGTGGCCGCCTAAGCAAGAGCTCGCCACTGTCCAGCAACCCTTTCACTACCACAGAGCATCCTCAACCCCTTAGTACGCACGTACAGGAGTCTACAGACTCGCGGCGATTTTTCTTCGGGTTGCACCAACACAACCCACCGGCGCTTCACCACTACAGGTTCGGGCAACCCCATCGCGCGCGCGGCGAGAGGTTGCGCGTGTCCTCGTTTCGCGTATCGAAAGGGTAGCGGAGCCTCTCTTTTGCCGGCGATCGCGCATGACCGAACACGCTCGCCGTCTTTCTCGCACCGCTTTCGTTCTGCCGGCGAGTGACCGACTAAATTATAGGTCCGTTCGCTTGTTTATTCACGCTTAATTACGCGAAAACTTTGTAATGCTTCGGATGCGTGTTGTAAATGTAAAAAAAAAAGAGAGAGAGAGAGAGAGGACCGGGATCGATGTGATGTGTCGAGCGTTTCTCGACAATCGCGATATAAAAGTTACGGTTCTTTCGCGCGTTGAAAAAAACATTCGATCCCCACGCTCGATTTTTCGCTCAATTAAACAATAATGAAAGAGAGCGAGAGCGAGGGTTCAAGATCGCGCGGACTTTTCGACATTTTTCCGAATCTTCGGGTCGAAGGTGGAGTGTTCAAGATATCCGGCTGATATATATCGCGAACACACACCACTTCGTCTCGAAAATACCGATGTTACACGTCGGGGTATCCTCACACGTACATGAGGAGTCGTCGGTGTGATAAAACGTGGTCGCTCTCTCGCGCCTATCCCTATCGCGTCTGTCTCTCCTTCTTCATGCGCCTTCATAAAGGGTAAGAGCGCAATGGTCAGCCTGCAGCGCGGGAGCTCTTCTCTCTCTCTTGTCTAGCCCCTGCTGTCTCATCTACTTCCGTCTGCGTCGCGCTATCCCTCCGGCGTGCAAGCTTTTCTCTCTTTCACCCTTACCGCGGCCTCCGCAAGCTCCGTCTTCCTCTCCTGATCGCTGTCCGGCGCTGTCTCGAATGAGTTCGGTGGCGCTCGTATCGTCCGTCGACGTGTCCTCGTCGCGCTCAGAACGGGAAAGCGTCGCCCCGTCTCTCTCCTTCGAGCACGACTCACCCCTTCCGACCCCTGTCCGCTCTCGGTACATCCACCAGCGACGATTCCGTCGCGAGCTTACACGATCGGGATCTTCTTCGTCGCACCGCCGATTCGCCCGTTGCTACCGTCTTTCTCGGGGTGGACTCGTTCAGGAACGCTGGCGAGGCCATTGTCGCCCCGGGGGTAAGATGTTCTATATATCAATATTTTTTCATTGAAATTTTCCACCTTAGCTAGATTTCGAATTATCCTCAATCATCTCGTACTTTTCCCTATATTGCGGATAATCGCGCGTCTTTATCGCATCTTTGGCACGATATAACGTCGCATTTCTATCTTAAATTGATATCGAAATAAGATATTATAATTGTATGTATAAGTAAATGATAAGATGCGAAAATTGCGAAACTATATTCGACGTGATAAATTGCATTTGAAATGCATTGTACGAGATAGTATATACTTGTCATTAATATGAAATGAAATCCCATTAGCGAATCGATCGATGACGAATCTCGCAAGTGTATATCGAACGTCGAAATTGATGGTCTCTCTAGCTCGTCTCGAATATTCAGCAATCGTGTTTAATACGATCCGGGGTCTCCGTGAAAAACGCGCGATCGCGATTCTTAAATAAGTTACAGGCGAGAGCACGGTGGGCAGTATAGCGTAGCGTTAATCGACGTAAACGGCGTCTCGCATAAATCTTCAATTTTACCGCTCCGGGCAGTCGGTTCCCGCGTAGAGCCAGCGCCAAGGGGCGGTCCTGCTACTCGTAGCACTTTTCTCTATCCCTCTCCCGGTACCGAGTGCCGTATCTCGCGCGCACCAACCCTCCACCCCCCTTCCGCCCCCCTTTCCACCCTCCCCCCGTCAACCCCTTTCGTCGGTCCACCGCCTCGCTCGCCCGCTTGCCGGTCCTTCTCTTTGGCCGGCGCGCGGATCTTCTTTCTCGTTCGTTTCCCACCGCCTCCTCTCGATCTCTCGGTACCGCCGTCCTCGTCGCTCGTGTAACGCGCCTAGGAGAAGCAGAGGCGAGTTTGCGATTGCGCGCGGCAGGGGCGCCACTGTCCGGGGCGAGTGACCAAGAGGGGCCCCACCGGCTTGCTCCGCCGCTGGCCGGCGCGCGTAGTTCTCTCCCTTCGGCTTACAGCATCCGCCGGAGCTTCTCCTCTCTCCGTCTACGCGGTGCGAGTGTGCCGTGTGCGCCAGTGCGCCCGCAAGCCCGAAAGTTCGCGCTCCGCCACGCAGCCCAAGCTCTCTCTACCCGCGCGCTGATCGGCCACGTTCGTCAGGCCGGGAGCCCCCAACGCAAAAAGAGGCATCGGGGCCGCGCGCGCGAGCCAAGAAAAAGGACGAGAGAAGGAACAATTTGTTTAAAAGTATATTTAGAAAAAAGGAAAAGAACGCTTTTTTTTTTGTTTCAAAACGGAAAGAAAATTTTCTCGTGACGGAAGGAAAAGGTGCCGGGGAGAGGAGGACTTTCTTAACGCGGCTCGCGACGTTGTATAGATACTGTGATGTTAAAAGCTCGCGCGAGAGCTTGCAGTGAGAGAGAATCGAAGAGGATCGTCCTACCGGCTTCGAGTGCGCCGATGTTGTGAACGTCTTCTTACCCGTCCTCGTCCTCCGAACTTGTCTTCTTGGGATCGGCGCAACAAACAGGTGAGTTCATGATCGACGAGCGAGGAAAAGTATCGAAATCTTCGAGCTTTTCGGGTTTTTAATCATTTTTTTCGTTCCGCATCTTGTTGCTAACTCATGGTTCGCGCGCGACGATCTTCTTCCCTTAATGACACGCGAAGTAATCCGGTAAATATACGAGAGATTTCGTGGACTGCTAGAGTATTTGATATTTTCTACAGTGATTATGTGAATTAATAAGAAGATAAACGCGGTACGAAAAGATAAACACACATTGAACTTCTTGTCTCGAATATAAATGGATTTTTCTGTTCTACGATATGTGAAATTTTGCCATTTAAATTATGATAGTGGTAAATTATTATATGAGAGAAGAAGAGACTAACAATTCTCTGCAATACAAAGATTAACGGAAATGAGTATTAATTTTTACATTTACATCTTAATGAAATAACATTTAGCAAAAGCTTTTTTCGGAGTAATGGGATATACATGCAAAAACAATTTTATGTATAATTAAGCATTTTACAATAACACTTACTTCTTTTCAGTAGATAGGTATGTTGTGAGTTTGAAAAAATGATATATCTTTTGCTAGTGATCGAACCGGTTATTTCTCACGTCTCACGATGTCCGTGATATACGGACTGTTTCCCCTTAGACTAGTCGCGCGTCGAGCGAAGGAAAAATTCTTGATCGTGTGGTGATGTCAACGGTGACAGGTGTGATGTGTTGGTGCTAACTGTGCTCACGTCAGGAAATAATTATAAAATAAACTCGCGTAAAGGCAGCGATTATAATATCTGAGTGATAATAAGATCGTGTAAGAAATTGGAATCTTGCAACGCGTAAAAATACGATGAGAGTCGATGGTGCACACAACCATCTAATGAAATAAAGTGAAACAATCGCACGATTAATATAAAAATATATCGTGCAATTTATTTATGCTATAAATAATTGTGAAACGCTTCGCTAAAATAGATATCTTAAAATATTTATCAATTATCTTAATGTTGAATATCGGAGTCATATATTCAATCGCTTTTAAAATTTGAAAATTGCATTAAAATTCATTATACATTACAACTATTACCATAAATTAATATTAAAGTTTGTGCTATTTATATAATACATTTCTATTCTGTTGGAAAAAAATGTGAATAATAAAATATAACATTTTTTTATGTTGTAATATTTATAAAAGTTCCTCTAATTATAATTATAATACTTAAAATAAATGGCAGAAATATGGCATCATCAATATAAACATTTTTGCTACAAAAAATGACGTCTTTTGCAAATAACTTAAAATTCTACATAAAAGTCGTGTTATATTATAAAAATATAAACATGAATGTTGAACCATGAATAAAATTGAGATAATATGTAAATTGTTAAAAAGTGTAATGATTGATTATCAATTTCGGGTGATGCAGATAATAAATTAAGTATTTTGAAAACACTGTGGTGCAAGTTACAAGTATCGATATCTACAAGGAAATTTTGAACATGTGATAATTTAACAAAACTTATCGAAAGTCCCTTCGGTACAGTAGATACAGTTGGCTCCTGTCAGCCAGAAAAGCGGAGATGTCAAACATTGTTCCGACGGCAGCCGTTTAACCCGCGACAGGTCGAGACAGACGCTACGCGGATTCGTTTTTAAATCAATAACATAAACCTCATCGAAGCCATTTTTAAATGCAATGTAAATTGGAATGTATAAATAACCAAAATACATTTCGCAGACTAAATTTAATTAATAATATATTTAAAAATCCGCTTCAATTGCTTTGTATCAAAGATTTTTATAATGATTTGAAAAAGACTATCACGCGTTTAAATTATGTCTTTTGAGTTTTCGCGGCAACAAAAAAAAAATAATCGAAAATTGAAAACATAGAAAAATATTTAGATTGTCACTGAAAAGAATTCGTGATCGAGATGTTATAAAATGACGCTTTATCATTCTCTGTTTTTACTAATTATTGCGTAACAAGATATTTGTAAGCAAATTTTTTCATACTTTGAACCAGAGAATTTTGGAAATCTTATTTCTATTGTACACAAAATGGTTGCATCGATGAACAATGAGAGACGTATCCATGGAGCACTTTCGAGATGTCGTTCGAACAGTCGTCCGTATAGAACTAAGATCACGAAAAGAAGTAACCGAATCCAATGTAGAGTCCAGTAGAACCAGTTTCGCCAGTTTAGATACACGTTCGGAAAAAAACCCGGTTTTGGAGCGAAAGGGTTGCAATAAAGCGCGCGGCGGAACTGTTTTGCTGTCGGAATGCCGCGTGCAGTTAGCGGTTCGATCGATGGTCGCGTATAAACAGCTAATAATCAAACGAATCGTGTCATAAACAATCCCCGCGGTGGGAGCGGTGGGGTGGTGGTAAAAGTATAAATGAGTGTCGATCGGTAGTGGGGTGTATAACCAGGGGTGGGGGTGGCGGCTTCGAAAAGCGCAGAAAAGCTTGACCCGCATAAAAATTTGTTTCGATACATCTGCCACCCCCGCGGCTCTTTTTACTGTGGTATGATTTAGGTAGACGGGACCTGTCTGCACCCCGTAGGTTCCTGCAACCTCTTATGATACTCACGATACTTATATATTTCAATAGATTGCAGTTTAATACCGGACTTTAAAAAGCTCGAATATGGTCACTATTTTCCAAAATTTTTCGATTTTTCAATCGTTTCGATTATGCGTCGTGACACGCGTGACACTTATAAGTTATAGGTCAAGTTAAAATTGATATTAGTTTTTTCAAACTTTGATTAAACGAAGACGATCGTACTCGTTCGGATACTTTAGTGGATCTTGTGGTTGAAAAAAACCAAGCGTGAAATATCTATCGTGACACTACATCGTAAATCGGAATTCTTCTTTTTGTCTATTTAACATATTTTTGAGATATAATTTTGGTTTTGGATATTTTTAATATATTTTTAGATATTTTTAGAGATATTTTTAGATTATTTTGGGCATATCTTGTGATCGTTCGTTCGTAAGTTGTTTGTAGCTATGAAGAGTTAATAATCTTGTTATTGTTTCTTGAATTTGAACTGCTTCACACATTTGCTTTGAATAGTTTCGCATTATACGTATAATTGTTTCGCAATATTAAATATATAGTTTGAAATAAATTGTATTTACATTATCTTTTCTTTGATATTCCATCTAAATTATCTCTTTTTTATATATTTTTTGATTGTTTAAAAACTCACCTTATCAATAAATCAACAAATATTTCAAAGTTGCATGAAAATTGTTTTATTTATTTGATACGTATGTATTATATTATAACGATATTACAGAGAGATTGTAATTTTATATACATTTTTTATTTAAATTATATTTATTTCAAAATTTATTTATTTGTATTTCTCAATCAAATTTGAATGACAATATAAATCTATTCAACATAAGGATCGATATATTCAGTGCAAAAATTTCGTTTACAAATACATGTATAATAATATGAATATCTTTAAGAATTTACAATCAGATTTGCGAATGTGTTTTTTTTATAGAAATTATCTTTCATGTTATTTAATTTCACAATGCTTGCGTTTACAAATTTTATATAATAGCTCACGAACGAAAGATTCACAAAATACAATATAATTTGCGAATGTATTTTTATAGAAAATATCTTCCGTGTTATTTAATTTCACGATTTTTACGTTTACAAATTTTATATAGTAGCTTTCCAACGAAAGATTCGCAAAATACAATATAATTTGTGAATGTATTTTTTGTAGAAAATATCTTCCGTGTTATTCAATTTCACGATTCTTGCATTTACAAATTTTACATAGTAGCTCACGAACGAAAGATTTACAAAATACAATTATATCACTCTCTCTCTGTCTCTCTCTCTTTTCAAAATAATTTTCAAGATAAGTGTTCAAATAATCACATAATCTCACAAGTATTGTTCACAAACAGTTCAGTGACGGTGAGCGATGTTTCGTGTTCTTTATATAATTCTAATCCATTTTATATATCTCATAATTGATATATATAATATATTTTTGACTTTTTGCTATCTAATTTATACTATCTGTCATTGTCATATATAAATTTGTATATCTCAATCTTGACTGATGTATCATTGCATATATATCTAATTTTCCGCGTTTGCTCTTGCATAAATGTAAAAAGATTCCTTCGTATGTTTGAAAACGATGACATTTCGAAATCGTACGCGCACAGATATGACTTTATTCTTCATTGCAGAAGGTAAAAACCAAATAGAGTAAGAATATATAAGTCGAAAAGCCGTATTTGTCTCGAAATGGTACGAATCGCGTCAGGATTTTGATTCTCGCAAATAAGAACTCGCCGTACAATCCACCGTCTCCCAGATGAGAGAATTCTGTTCGTTAACGAGAAATATCGATGAAAGTAATGCGCGGGGTCATAGAGTTCATCCCGGAAAGAAACGGCGGCGAAAGTGATCTTGTCGGCGCGTCACATCGGCGCGTGACCAGGACGGGACGTGTAGTCGTCGAAGATCGATGCGCCTGAAATCGTTCAAAAAAATGACAACAATATATACTGTCACCCTTTTCCCCCTCCGTTCTGTAAAAAACCACGAGGTCGGTCCCGTTGTTGTCTCTCGCAGTGGGAAACGTCGGGCGAGGGGTGGGGAATATGTGTGCTCCGAGGGTGAACGGTATGATAACGTCGAACGGGTCGACACGCGATGTATCGGTCGGCGAAGAGAGGAAAAAATAGAGAGGGAGGTGGGGGCTGTGAAGGTTGCCCCCGAAAGAATCGAAAGTTTCGTCGAGATCCGCGGAGAGCAGCGTGGCGAGGTGGACGGGGTGAAGGAGAAAGGGTTGGGGCGACTCGAGGCTGCTTGCTTGAGCAAGAGCCTTCGCGCGGAGATGGAGTAGGGGGGGATACATCGGGGGTAGAGGACGAGGAGACGGAAAGAACACGCGTGTAGAGGGGATGCGAGTCGAGGGTGAGTGGGTTAACTGCAAAACCCGATCGTCCG